CACGATTTTGAGAGTTTCTCAGCCAGTGTTTGATATCAGGGCTTGGAGTTGTCTGTTGCCATGGCTACTGCTTCAGCTACTTGCCCACAGGAGGGAGCCCTCTACCTGTGAAAAGGTAGGCTGGCAGCAGCAATTTTTGTTGTTCTACAAGAGGACGGTGGAGGAGTCAATTACCAATAGAGGCATAAGATGGTTTATTTTCTCATTGTGTGCAACTCTACTGGTGCAAGTATGGCGTTTGGTTTATTCTCTAGACAGAAATAAGAGGCACACTAGACAGTCACACAAATAGTAAGAAAGGCATCTAATGTCTCACTGAACAAATATATCTTCTCATTTTCTCTTACCAGCCCGATCTCTTTGCACTGAAATCTCCACATGAAATAACAAGCAAGAGTCCCCTTCAGCTAGACATCAGCCAGGACTGTCCCCACGGGAGAGGAACAAATCCAAATGACCGCTTCTGAAAGGAGGTGAGGTTTCAATGGGGCAAAGCGATGGAGTTCCCCAGATAACTGGGGCATCCTGTGAGACTTGCTGAGAAGCATACGAGTCCTCAAAACTAAGGACATTTCAAAACCATCTCTCCACATTCACAATGTTCTTTTGGGACAATTATGCCAAGCTAAAAATAATTTCATTCAAGGCTCAAGAGTGTTTTGTAACCCAGGAGGCCTGGAAATATCCTTTTATAGCTCCAGCGCTGTCAGTCCCACAGAGCCACCGTCCTTGCTCTGAGACCTGGAGGGTCCAGCAGAGAGAAGAGATGCATTGGCCTCCTCGGGCAGGAATTTCTGCTCACTCATCCATCCCTGGTGACTATGACTGGGCTGATTGTGGGCCCGGGACCTAGAATTTTTTTCCCTGGCTACCCACCTTCAACTACCAATAATTATAATTTACGCTAAAGATGATGTTTTAGGTCAAATAGGAAGAACAGAGCACTGAGCAGTCAAAGCTGGTGGGCCAAGGAGCACGGGTCTTCTAAGAAATATGAAGCCTAATATTCTATATTTCTTAAGGGAAGAAAATTATCTGTCCAAATTAATTGGGAATAAAACTGGCATGAAAATAGGATAGCAACTGAAATTACAACTTACATGAAGTTTTTTAGCTAATTTATCATTTATCGAATGCTTTTATTATAAAGAATATTCATTAAAATCAAAAGATTATTCTCACATAAATAAAATCTAAGCTTCATTATTGGAAAAGAAACCATAGCTTTTCAGAGGACAGAGATTTCAGATGACACATGTCTTTAACAGTCCTATACTGAGTGCCAAATTTAACTATAGAACATTACACCAAATGTAAGAAAAAGGGACCCTAATGTTTAACTTTAAATATAAATATAAATATAAATGAAGCAAACAAAGTAACTTTATTTTCATTCATTCTTTTCCCCTTCAGGAGGGTTCTCAGCCTTCACATGTCATGTCTAGGGTCCAACTTCAAAATACTTCAGTTTTGTCGACGCTGATGCTGGAAATCTTCTGAGTGTCTCAAAGTAATTTAAGAGCCAGAAACTAACGATAGAGGCTGAATTCCTCACAGAAGATTTTAAAGAGAAGAGACTCACAAAAAGAAAAAAAAAAAAAAAAAGAAAAAGAAAGAAAGAAAGGAAGGAAGGTAGGAAGGTCATTTATTTTCTATTATACTATCAGGGCTAAGGGAAGAATTTCTTCATAAGAGCAGAATCATTGCAGCTTTTGCCACTACTTCCCAGATTTAAAGCCTTTATTGCTTCTAAAACTCAATAAAGGAGCCACAGGTTGATGATTTTTTACGTCTCTTTTGATGCTGGCAGTCAGAGAAAAGCAGAAATTTTTTAAATAACCATAATTACAGCGTGAAGTTAAATAACAAAACTAATTTTGTCCAAAGTAACCCAACAAAAGAATTATGTAGCTAAGGTCTGCATGGAGTTATCAACAAAAGTCCCATTTATAGCTAAGTTGTTTTGTGGGGGAAGGATGAGGTATGAGGGCTTCATTAAAACCTCCTAACAGTAAAAAAAAAAAAAAAAAAATCAAACCGCAGACAGTAGGTGGCTCCTAAAACACTTCATTCCAAATGCTATGCATAAGCCATCAAAGTAGGAAAACAAAAATACCCCCCAAATCACATTATCTGAAGGGAAACAGCCACTGTGTAACTCACTTACATTTCTGCCTAAAAGAGCAAATATCACACCAGTGCAGTGACAACACATACGAACATTTGGAGATTAAATGAGAAAAACTGTGTCCAGTTTTTGCTCAAGTGCTACAGTTTTATGTGAGCCAACGACCGACCAGTCCACGGCTAAGAGGTGACTGAGCTGCCTGCACCAGCACACGGTGTCTGTGAACCCAACTTTGTTTTGGGGTGAAAAAAAGTGTATGTGTATCATATAAATATATACATGCATACTATATCTGCCCTTTGATTAATCTGTAACTCTTCAATCTTATTTTTATTAGAATCTACTTACATGACTTCAGTTTGCTAGGTAATATCTGTAACTTTAAACTTCTTAAAACTGCTTTAGATCTATTTGTTTAACATTAGAGTAAAAGGTAAATGTTATAAAATTTTTGCTTGATAGTTTACCCAAAATGTCAAAACTATTTTTAAGCATGAAACAAATTAAACAGTCATTTCCAAAGTCTGGGCCCCGGACGGTGTGTTATGGACTCGGTCTTCCTGTCCTTTCCCACAGGAATCATCAGTTACACATGTGGCTTCTGAAAAGCAAGGTGGGAATCTAAATTACAGCAGGTTTTCTCAATGACCTCTCTTACTCTGCTCGCAGGCTTTGGAATGATAATTACTCATTTACATCAAAATCCTTTTGCT